ACACTCAAAGCCTACAGGAGATGCCCAGATTAATCCATCAGTGTCATGTTAAAGTGGTGAGTGCAAAATACACACGGAAACAGGGTACACCTGCTTCAGGGAAGTAGAGTATTAATCAATGAAAAAAAGTGCAGATTGCTTTAAATAAGCTAATGAACACAGTTGATTCGAGTGCTCCTCACAAATTAAAAAGACTACAATCCAAACAAAAGCCAGAATCATACATTTTAATTTAGCACACACACACACAAAAAAAAAGTCAGTGGCACTCACAGTTTGGTAACTTATCTTCCACTCCACCGCCTGGTCACACATCTCAAATACTTCACTGTCCAACTGGTAAGTTATGCTGTCCGTCTGGCCTGCAGCGCAAAGGCCAGCACACAATCCTTTGGCAGCTGAACACAACAGAAGATTACTGGCTACGTGAGGAACCAGCTACAAGACAGAGTTAATATATTATCATTTCCTAAACTAGCAAGTTGAGATTATACAACCCATTTCCACACAACACCCAACACTCCCATTAAGTTCCACTAGTTTTAAATTAATAAAAAGCAATAAAAAGTCATCCTTGTTTAAAAGTAAACATTGAGCCAGCTGCATTTTGGTTTTTTTTCCTGGTAGCTTACACCTCCAAGCAAGCTTGCACATGGATTTGCTTTCTCCCCAGTACAAGTTTCCTAACTAACTGCCATCTGACCTCTGCTGTCCCATTCCAGAGTAGCCGTGGCAGTACCGCACTGTTCACTCCAGAGGGAAGCTGACAGCCAAAGTTCCAAGTAATTAGATCCCTTTTCCTTCTCCTCAGGAAAAAAAAAAGCCTGACAAGTCCATATGCACTGCAGTGAGTCTCCTACAAGCACAATGCCCGATCACAACACATTTATAGCTATGAAATCAGATCCAAAGCAAATGAACTGGCTGGATGAGGATCTTTGATGCTTCTGTTTTCCAGCTGGCCAAAGCCATGTGGTTTGACAACACACAAAGCGTGATCTAGGAGCACAACACAGCCCGAGCACGTAAGCCAGTCACTTGCTTATTGCTCCTGAGCTAAAATTAAGCCCTAGTTCTTGCTGTGGTTATTGGGGCAACGCTGCTCTGCAACCTAATTGCAAGCACTTTGTTTATTCCAGAAGACTTCTGCCAAGAGAGTATTCCTACCCCTGACAAGTTGTTTTCCATCTTCCCCAGCACTTTCCATCCATCTAGGATCAAGAAATAAAGCCAATTGTCCCCAAGATTTTCTACAGAGCGAAGAGGACGAGGACACGTCAGCACCAGAAATTTATCACCATCTGCAAGGCACCGCCACACGTTATCCCTGTCAACAGCTCACAGAAATATCCCCACAAGCCGGACAACTAGGGTTCAGGAAAGCAGCACGGAGACAGACTGTGCAGGGGGCTGGTACAGCCCATACCAAACGTGAACAAGTACCACAAAATACTGTACCGTTAGCACTGCTTCCCACAAGTACCACGAGGGAAGGCAGGACCGGGGCTGTGGTCACATCCCCTTTGGCCACCGGCGATGCTCAGATCCAAACTGCCCGCCACTAAATCTGGCTGCACCCCTCCTGTTTGCTCCCCTCACCCAAAGCTTTCAGAGCTGCGAGTTGTAACTCCTCGTTGTGTTATTCTGCTTTTCTCCAAAAGCACTGATGTAGCCATGCACAAAGGAACCAGCAAAGGCACAGGAGCATCCAGAGCATTTATGTCAGTCTCTCCAAGTTCGCCGTCTTGACAGCTTTCCTCACTCAAAGCCAAATCAAAGGGAATTTTCTTCTGAAATGTCACAAAAGCCTGCCAGGCTTTGAGGAGCAGAAGGTGAGAAGAGAAGGCAGAGGAGGAGTATTAATACAAAATTTGCTATTTTCATTGCCTTTGCTCTAGACAGAATAAAGCCACAGCATATCAGCAGTTTTGCCTTTAATCGGGACTAGCACATTCTGACATTTTGAGGCCAATCAGGTACACTCTAAATAAAAAGATGCTACTACAGGGACAAAGCTGAGCTGTGAAAAGTTCCTGCAAGGCATCAAGCCTCTGCAAAGTCCTACTCTGTCTCCAGCCAGCCGAGCACGCCGCGCCTCCAGAAGAGAGACCCTTAACACTACCACTGAAAAGGTTTGGAAGGGACAAGCTACAAGCAGAACCATCGTCTTAAGAGTGGAGAACAGCATGATGCACAACCTGTGCCAACAGCCAACCAACAGGTCCTCACCCAAGTGACAAAACAGACATGTATTCCGCACCGAGCAAAACACTCCTGCCAACTGCTGTCCATGGGTTTGCACTCCCCAGAAGACTCCTGAGACCAAGGGAAATTTAAGCTGCAGGTAACAACCACTAAAAAGCCATTTTAAGACACAGCAGTGGAACATACCTACACTGCCTTTACACACTCAGCCAACCCAACACAGCAGGTTACAGGGAAGAGACCGGCTACAGAGTCAGCGTCTGTACTTAGGAGACAGTGACTCATGTCTCAAGCCAAGTGCTTGTAGTGCATTCAATACAGTCTGGATTTTCAATCCTATTTTAAAAACAAAAACTATTAAGTCAGTTATAGAAAACTTCAGGATTTTTATTTTTTTGGGTGACTAGGGACATTGAAGAAAGGAAGAATCCACAATCAGAGCTATGGATCCATTTGCAGCTGAAGCAGAGCTGGTTTTAGGGACAAGTGATTGAAACAGCTGCCCAAGGGGACCTCTCTCATCCCTTTAGGCTGTTAGGGAGAATACAAAGCAGCCACCATACTGGCTGCAGCAGCCTAACAGCAAGATCCAAGAGAAACTGGCCACCCAGATGCCAAAGAGAGCCCTAACGTCTTTAAGTATCTCAGAAATCTGCATCACCAAGCTGGAAACCTCTGTCTGCAAGATTAAGCACATGCTCTCCTTCTGCACACAGCTCAGAACCTGCCGCAAAAGGCTGAGATACCCCATCTTAGCTTCAGCTCACCTCTCTGCCCACACCCCGAGGCCCAGAGAACTGCCACCCTTCCCCTCTCCTGGCCCTGCATGATGGGGTGAAATCCAAGTCAACCCTTCCCTCTGCTGATGCCGATAGGAACACCTCTACCAGGCTCCTCAGAAACAAACTGCTTTTTACAGCTTATTCACTAGAACGGTAATAGCACTTCAGATCCTCGCCTCTAACACAGGCAGGCTTTCCACTACTGACAAAGCAGTAGGAAACAAAGAAAAAAGCGCTCCAAATCACCTTCAAATTCCCAGAGGTTTGTAAAACTATATCCAAAGAGAAAGGAATTAATCCTGAGAGTGACGTGACCTTCTGCTCAAAGCCTCTGCTGGAGACTCTGTTCTCACACAGCTTGAGGGAACACTCAAGAGCCAGAAATGGCAAAAAGCCCTTGTGAGAGTGAAAATAAAAGCTCCTCGCAGTCAGAGAAACTAGGCAGTGACTGAAACGTCTCCATAGAAGGAGCCCAAAAGCTCCCAACACATGTACAGACACATTTACAAACCAAAACCTGCAGAAGATGTAAAGGCAGAGTTTTGTTAGACACTGATCCGTCTGGCAGCAGAAAGAGAAGAAACCTGGAGTTTATCATCACAGCCAGAGAGTAACTGCCACAAAGGACATATTTTGCTTGTAACTAGGAGCTTCTTCACAAATGGCTCCTTTCTCTCCACGCAAGGATCCCTATCATCTCTTCCTACACAGGATTAATAACACTTGCTGATGCAAATGCTGATGGCTTACAGCACAACTCTCGGTCTGTAGATTAGCACTAGCCAGGATTTTCCTGCATAGGACAGTCCATGGGGAATCTGCTTCCTTGCCTGCAGCTCACACTTCCCAGCGGAGCTCAGATCTGCCACACAGAATGTGGGTATCATGGAAAGAAATTAAGCCCAGGAGCTTTCTGTGGCAGCAGCAATCATCTGTGATGAAACAAGTGCGACTAGAAAGGGAACAGAAGGGTCCTGTGAGTGGAGCAGCAGCACCCACCTGTCGGCACCAACCGTAAAAGGCGCCAGAACAAGCCACAGCAGTATTAGAAGAATCCCTTGCTGCTCCTTCAGACTGCATAGGGCAACCTGATACAAGAACGACACATAACTGGGGTCACACCAGTACCAGTGACACATGGCACCTTCTGCTACCCATCACAGTCAGGAGGCAGCAGGCCGCATTTGGGCTTATTTCACAGTTAGTTTTCTTTTTTCTCCTTCCTTTACATTTTCAGGCCCAGTTTAAAAGATCTGAGAACTAAACCAGTTCTGAATGCACCACCTTCTGCAGTTCACACATTTCCATTTCCGTGCCTAGCTCCTACATGAAGGAAGAATCATCTCCCCTGCACTCAGGGGAACACCCAGACCTGGAGCCCCAGGGACAGCACATCCGCCAAGCTCCAGAAGCCGGGGTAACGCTACACACTGTCATTTGCAGTGGGGAATCCTCCCCTTGCTGCCAAGCTAAGCAAATTTCTCAAAAGGAAACCACCCACTCCAATTACTAAGCCAAGGATGCAGGTATTACACCAGCCTCTCTCGATGATGCTGCACCCAGAGAAAGGTTCCTGGAGAGGAGGATGTGCTTTGTCACTGCTGACGCAATTTATCATTAAGCAGTCAGCCAGTCTGCAGCAGGGGACTGCACAGGTTTTCAAGAGGATAAAGCAAAATCTCCCAGGAGGACAGACTGGCCTACAGCATAGCAAAGGCATGAGTCCCCTCCGTGACGGAGAGCCCTTTCCACAGGAGACTGCTAATGGTCAGAGCAGAGGGCTTGTATCCATCCAGTCAATTAAATGTTCTTCAGATCCAGCTCTGACCTTGAGTTATTTTTATTCTGATACATTCTTTTTGCAGTAAGAAAGGTCTGTTTCCTCCTCTGCAGGATCCCTTCAGCTATACAAAGCTATGTTACAGACTGGGTAACAAGGACTGCTAGGGAGCAGTGTGGGGTGGCAGGGAGGAAAGGGCAGTCATGGATATTTTAACCGGGATGTGTACATTTGGGGTAAAAAGGCTTTATTAAAAGTGCATGCTTTTATTCAGAGGTACCAAGAGCAAGGAATCCCCATCCCAGCCCTGGCTGGGGAGTGCAGCAGCCTTTGCAAACCCTAGCCCTGTCCATCACCAATCACCCGTCAAGTAGCCAGCGACTGAATGTTCTTCAGCATTTCATCAAAAGCCTCACGGGAAGGCGCTTCGGCGTTCTGGAAGGAGACCTTGATCCGGCTGTAGAGACTGAAGGACTTCAGCTCCAGCCAGATGAATCCAAAGCGATCGTCATCAAAGAGAACAAAAACGCCTGGTGTTCGCTCCGGACTGGTGAAGCCGTGGCCAGCAATAAGCCCCGTCCCATAAAAACTGCAAGGTGAGAAGAATAGCAGAAAAGGTGTGAGAACAGCCATTATTACCCAACATTTAATAACCAGCAAACACAAAACTACGATCAAGCCATTGTCAAACATACTGCCAGGTGCTACATAACAGGGAGTTTTACATTCAGTCAGTTCTTATCACACAACACAAAACACTGTCGATACCATTTTAAGAAAAGAAACTCTCCATTGCTATTTGGAGGTTGCTGCTTTTGGGTATTCTAATAGCACCTGCACACCAAGGTTGAATTTTTCTGTAATTCAACCTAGTAATCCATCTGAGATTTACTTCTGCAACTCAAGGATCAACCCAAGCCCAGACAATCCTCATAGAAAACGAAAGGCATGTTGAGAGGGTGACCAGAGAGGCAAACCTTGCGGCAAAACCTTGGGAAAGGGAGAGAGAAAAAAAAAAAATCTAAAAAAAGGAAAAATCTAACTGGAGCTGGGGAGGAGTAAAGGTCAGCCTAACCTCCAAGCAAGCAGCAGGTGGAGCAGGATTTTATTCAAACACAACTCAGTTGTGACAGCAGGGGCCTTCTGGGATTAACCAGCTATTGGTAGGCTTTTCCATGAGCACAGATGTTTGGCTGAAGGTCACCTGCCTAAGCCTCAGCTTTTGGGCTCTTTTGCCACACTTCATTTAGTATGCTGCTTCACTGACTCCAGGTCCCATTCAACAAGGCTCTCTGCATACTTGCACCTACTGCTTAGGGTGCTCAGCACCTTCCAGAGCTGGCCCCAAGGCACCAAAGGCCAGGGAGGGGTGGGAGAGGGCACTGTGTTCCCATGGCCAAAGAACACAAATGACACATATGGAAATGGGAAGTGGCTTGAACAAATCTCCCAACATACGAGCCGGGCAGCTCTGGGAAACAAAACACACAAAAAAAAGGGGGAGGTGGTTACGGGAGAGGTGCTAGCTTCAGAAATAATAGGATAAAATCTAGCAAGGAAGCAGGGTGACAGATGACAGTGCGGTAGGAGAGAGAGGAAGCAAACAAGAGCGTGGGAGATAGGGCAGCAGCGGCAGAAAATCTGAGCACAAGGGGCTGGGAGATCAGCATGCAGGTAAAGGGCAAGAACACAGAACACTCCTCAAAGACTCCCCCCGTTCCGTTTCAGAACGTGACTGGCACGACTAGGCTATAAAACCACTAGTCCCTGTTACCAAATTCGGCAGGTCCGGGGATAGTCTTCGTTCCTTGATATGACTCCCATGGGCAGCACGAAGGGCTGGGAAGCTGGTGCCTTGTCCTGGGTCGTCCCCTCTGCCCCAGCTGCAGTCTCTTCCCCCTCAGCACCTTCTCCTCCCAGGGGCTTTGCCACAGGCTGAGAGGCAGCCTGCTGGGAGCAGTCCTCTTCTTCCTGCCGGTGTTCCTCCTCCTGCTCCTCCCGACGCACCTGCTCCTGGACCTCCAGGACGATGCGAGAGAGCTCACTGAAATCACGAAGAGTCTCGATGTCGGGTAGCTGCAGAGGATGTGCCAGGTCGATCTCCACAGTCTGCTGCCCAGCTGGGATGTTGGGATCTCCCTAGAGACAGAAAGCAACAGCAAGGCTGCAGAGACAGGGTGCTACAGAGTTCAGAACTGTATCCTCCCCATTTAACTTCTACATAGTTCAACCTTTTTTACAATCACCAAAGTTTGCAACAACAACAAAAAAAAAAGCTCTCAGACCTTGTTCTTTGTTCCCTGAGCTGTCTACGCCACCTCTGCTTTCCCCCTCCCAGAAAGAGAATTTTAAATCAAAAGCTATGAGCCAGGCTGTACTTGCAAGGGCGAAAGAAAGTCAAAGCTGCAACTGCATTGTGTCAGAATCCGTCCCTGCAGAGACGAAGTAGCTCACTAGCCTGAATTCAGTGACAATGGAACCTGCTCCTCAGATACATGTGAGGGATCTCCAGTGACCTACTACCAACTGCTCACAGAAAGCCGCTGGAAGAGAGAGAAAAGGACTAGAAAAGGTTCTAGCTACTCTGCATGTGTTTAGATTCATCCAATGCCACCAATCCCCAAGAGGAAAAGGGTTTGGGGTGGCAACAACTGACTGCCTCCAAGACAGAGATCCATGTCATCAAGAAGAGAATACTTTAACAAGCGTCTGAGAGAAAGGAAAATGCACTCACGGTGATTTTAGTCCCCTTCGCTTTCTTTCCATGAAAGCTCAACATAACAATCTCCAGCCCATGGCTCCCATACGTTCCCTTGAAGAGACCTGGCTTTATAAGGTCATCAGGGCTGCTAGGAGGGAGGTAGATGCGTCGGTAAGTCAAGCAGTTGCTGTGCAAAAAACAAAAGGTTAGAGAGGTTAAGAGAGAATCCCTCAACAAAAACAATGTGTTTGCAGTCCGCTCCTCCAGGCAGCTTTGGGATGTCGTTAAGAGAGAGGCAGGATCTGTGTTTTCAGCAATACCAACAAGCTTAACATTTCTCTTTAGGCCTACGCAAGCACTCCCTCCCTTCACTTCTCTCTACCAGTCCTTGTTAGCACACGAGGACATTCCTGCAGCAAGGTCACAATAAACCTCCTCACTCCCTGGGATTTCTGGAGAACCTAAGAGTGAAGCATATTTAAACACCTGCTGCAATGAGGTGGCTGCTTTTTGAAGTTTGGAGTGCTGGTTAAAAAAAACCCCAAGTTCTCAGGGACTGTCTGATTTCTGCCTAGCGCACTACAAAGCATATTGCTTACTAATATGGAAAATAAGCAGATAGCACCTTGGGATCACGGCTATTTGCTCTGTCTTCAAATTAAACACAGTTAAATGACTCAAAACCATCCTACTGTGCATAGTTATTGTAAAGAACTTGGAACCTTATTATTACCGCTGTCATTACACCTCATCTCTCCGTACAACTGGAAAGCACTGTGCTTCACAGTCTGGAGAAGAGGAGGTTGAGGGGAGACCTTATTGCTCTCTACAGCTACCTGGAAGGGGTTTGTGGTGAGGTGGGTGGGTGTTGGTCTCTTCTCCCAAGTAATCAGCGATAGAATGAGAGGAAATGGCCTCCAGTTGCGCCAGGGGAGGTTGAGACTGGATATTAGGAAAAATTTTTTACTGAGCGTGGTCAAGCATTGACACAGGCTGCCCAGGGAGGTGGTGGAGGCACCATCACCGGAAGCGTTCAGAAAAGGTGTAGACGTGGCACTTCAGGACATGGTTTAGTGGGCATGGTGGTGTTGGGTTGACAGTTGGACTTGATGATCTTAAAGGTCTTTTCCAACCTTAACGATTCTGTGATTCTCCACATCTTTGCACAGAGCCTGCAGAGACAGAACAGTCCTCTGGCTGTTAAAGCCCATTGCAAGCACCCCATCTTTGAAATAAATGATCCAACGTGCTCTTGAAGTTGCAGCAGCCTCAATACCTAGAAAGAGCCGGTGCCCTTACTCATATTGGCTGGTGTAGATGAACTTCATCAAGATGAGCTCTTGCATGTGTTCATGGAAGATGTCTTCCAGAGTCCGACCCCACTCTTCCCTTAGCCACGTTCGGAATTCCTGCAGCACAAAGAGAAAGAAGAGGGGGAAGATAGAGGCATTTCACTTGTGACAGTGATGTACCCCAACATGACTTAGCCTTGACAGCACGATTCACTCGCAGAGCCACAAAGAAGGCATACGCTCTGCCAAAGACAAGGGATCCTGGCTAGATTTGGGAACAAGCGCGTGTTGCTACAGAGCTGGTTTGGAAATATGCTTAACAAGCAATGATAATGGTTACTGCCCTACACCTGCCAGATGCCACACAATAAGCATGCTCCCCTTCAAATAAATTACAGGCAGAACCAATATGCCTCCTCAGAATAAAAGTGTAAGCATCACCTGTTACTGCAAAGTAGCTGATCTACTACTTCTTTACACCCTGACTTACCTTGCAGTAACTCATTTGTGTGCCCATAAGCTGATTCCTGTGCCCTATCCTGGCATGTTAAACATAAAAGGGGAAGCTTCTGAAAGGCACTGAAGATTTAGGAGGTTAAATCCTGCTGATTTAACACTGATGCATCTAAATCCAAAGTGTGCTTTGAAAACATCTCCTGAAGTACCTCTACACCAGCTCTGACAAGTTAATACCCTACCATGAGGTAGCGTGATAACAGCTTACACTAAGATAGCAGCCTACGAAGTGAATATTCCAAACCTGCTTGGTTTATCTTCTAAAGCCAGATCCTCCAATTACCATAATGCCACGCACACTTAACGCAGTGCTTTGAAAAGTATTAAAGCATTTCTCATCTGCTACAGAACCAGAAAACACTTAACTAAACCTTTCACCCAGCTGTTTTCCATTAGTACACAGACATTTTAAAGCATTTGTTAGAAAGCAAATGAAGTATCAGATTTGTCACGTTTAACTAGCTGGCAGCAAACACCACTACCTGGAACAGGTATTAGCTGAAGATTTTCACCCTGTCATTTAAATGTGCACCTTAAAACATGTAGTTTGAGTCAGGAATCTGCCTTGCTGGGTAGAGCTGACACAGACACAGGATAAACAACCAAATGAAGCTTTTTAATCCCTCGACCAAGATGACAAGCAGTAGAAAGGTGCCCCACTGACAAGCAGGTATTCAAATGCAGCTGGTACTCAATACCAGGCCTGTGCCTGAAAGATCTTAATTATACAGACAGCAATACCACAGAGATCAGTGTCTGGCGAGTGCTGCATGGTGTACAATGCATGCTGCTGTCTTTCTTTGGACAGGCCTGCTATCAAACAGGAGTGGTGTCACAGCACAGGAAGAAAAAGGGTGCTGGGGCTCAAAGAGCACCTTGCCACAGAGAACTGCCTAAACCAGCTTTTTGCTCAACAGGATCTATGTCAACAACCTGCTCCAACACCCTGCTACGCACTGAGGTAAAGGCATGGAATCTCCACCCAAACATTCTGCAGGTCTAACACTGAATTGATCCCATATACTGGATCTTTAAACCACACTTTGGCAAGTACAGAAGAGGTACCCCAAGACCCTGCAATTATTCAAATGTGGCCACTTTAAGCAAGTCACAGATCAATTCTACTTGCTTAAAAAAATACTGTTGTAAACCAGCCAGAAGCTACTAGCTTGAGTTTTCATGTATGTTCAGACACACAGAAATTAGAAGGTAGAAGACCACCTCCCAGACACCAACACTAGCTAAGAGCTTAGGTAAGACAGCGATGCTTTATCTTCAGAGAGGTGACATATAAAGAGCCTTAATGCAGACTCTTGGCAAAGCACTCTTACCTCTTGCCTTCCCCCTGACATCCGATGGTGATCTGTCTGGTTGCATTTCGTGGAGAACTCATCCTTCTTTACAATCTGTAGTTACCATGGAGGAGAATTAAACAGGTTACAGACCTGTTTAGAGATGCCTAGGATGATGTAACTAAGACTGCTTAGAGTAAATGCTTTACACAACAAACATGACTGCATTTGCTACACAGAGAAATCATTAAGTGATACCAAATGCATCAGCTACAGAATAGAGAAATAAAGGCAATAAAACCCCAGTGCATTCTAATGAAAGATACTAGTTTTAAGTTGCTTCTCTATTTGAGCTTCCTCCTTCAAAGAAAGGAAACAGCCTCTCAGGAAGCTTTTCAAAGCATCCAATGTACTGAATGTACTCTCATCTTAGGGAGAGCTGTAAAACAGAACAGGTCTGTGTGTCTGCTTGGACACATTCACCAGCTGCACAAGGCCATTTTGCGTATCCTTTCCTCCAGCCTGTACACATACATACTGGTGCTCCCACCCTCCCATTGTGCTCCAGCCCAACAGAATACAGTATAACAGCCTTGCTGTTACTATTGTCAGTGAACAAATTCAGAGCGGGGAACAGCCCACACAACTTGTCAGACACATAATGAGAGTTAAAGCTGGCATTCACACATAAAACAAGGTGGTGAAAGCCACATCCCTTAAATAAAATTCTCATACAGATTTTTGATGAATCCACTTCCAGAGCCAATCTGCACGCATGCACACACATACCGCACCTAGGACAGATGATGCTGAAAGTGCCAGAGGAGCTCACCTGGATATGGCCATTATGAGGTCCCTTATGACCATACATACACTCAACCGTTGCACATTTCCTCTCCATGAGATGAATCCTGAAAAGAGGTTTGAATCTCATCGGATCATCAACGTGAGGGTCATGAGGCGGCAAGTACATCCAGCCAATGATGAACAAACCGTCTACCTGCAGAGGGATGGGAGATCAGCCTTGCATGCTTTCTGTCCAGTTTGCAGCAGAGAACTCTGGGGCCAATTCTGCAACAGGGCAGGAGCTGTCAAACAGCTTGCTGCATTTCCAAATGGCTTTCCAGCAATTAAACCAGACCATATGCACTCACAGCACACCCTTGGTGAAGAGGGAGAGGCTTTCTTTACGAGGCTTCCTGCACCACTGGAAAATGATCAGGCCTTTATTACTGCAAATGACCTTGTGACGGATGCTTGGTGCACAGGATCCAGAGGGAGAGACTGCACTGAAGAGACCACACAGCTAGTCAAACTCTAATTGGTTTGCGAGCTCCTGCTGGCAGATACTCGAATAGACGAATTCTGCTTCTCATGATGATCTGCGCTTTTTGGACAAGGAATTATTTGGCTTTATTACTCACAGACAGCACAGGAAGCAACAATCTCCTCTGCTGAGAGGTACAAGTGCCAGCCCTCTTCCTGCACACCTAACAGAATCCTTCCCCTCAAGCCCTCCAATTCCAGAGAAAGGATATTTTCTAATCAGAGTGATCTGAGACCAAAGCAGAGCAGTGCCACAGAGGCACACTTGTCTTTACAAGGTCACAGTATCATGTAAGTATTGGTGCACTTGGATGCACTCTTATACCAGTTCATGGAACAGAATCTTGCAAAACCCAAAGGCCTCGTGATTTGTTACGCTTCAACCTGTCAGCTATTGAACCTTGATGCAAAGAACAAGGGCTTCAGGCAGACTTCTGTCCCAGTTCTCACCAATACAGAATCAAGCGTTGTTCATTAACTGCTCTCTCCAGCAGCACAAGAGCTGCCAGACTCCACGGGTCTTGCACCAGTATCCCTACAATCTGATGCATTAGTCTTAGACATGGCTGGTGAAAAGTATGGAAAACTACAGGAAGGGGAGAGATGCATGAACACAAGTGCAAAACCCTTTGCAAAAAGTTCAGCTGCAGGCAAAGATAAGGCAGTAAGCGATGGGCCAGTGCCAAAACCTCTGCTGTACTCGCACAAAGAATGGACTCCTGTGCCAGCCACTGGAATATCAGCATTAAACTCTAAATCAAGCCTTTCCCTGAAACATTGCTCATGTTTTCTATGTGCTCTTGTTGCTGTCTGGAGTACAGATGAAAAACAAAAGGACTGTCTGGAGAAAGGTGGTGATGATGAAAAGATCCAAGCAGCACCCTCTAGGTCCCAATGGCTTGAGGGTTGACAGTTCAGACTTCTCAATAGCACAGAGATGGCAACCAGGTCTGGAAAGCGGTATACAAAAGACTCATCAGCCCGCTACACCACAGCCCCCAGAATGAGGTACACACTCACCACCACGTTCAGCAGTCCCCCATAGGGCCCGATGTCCGGCTGCCATAACCCCAGGATGTGTCGGTATCGGTGCAGCACTAGGGAACAGTGAGACACTGAAGTGAGCACATCAAGCTAAGGAATTGAGATTTTGGGAAAGAAAATAGAAGGAAGACTGCTACCAGACTGCACACAACATTGACCAATACCACCCACTACTGCCTTTACTAAGGAAAAATGGTTACATCCAAGCACAGTCAGGCAGTTCTGAACTGAGGCCTCCAAAAAGTTCACACAGATTTATGTTTTTCTCTGTAGCCCTGCTCCTGGCCTGGTGCAGGGGCAGGAGTTAGTTTCCAGGACTTTACACAACCAGATACCTCACCTGGAATTCTCAGAAAAGTTTTGCAACATGGTCCCGTTAATGCTTATCACATGACATACCCAGAGCTAAAACCAAATAAAGTATCTGCCATCTCCAGTTACCAAAAATGTACTTATGCCTCAGACTGCAAAGCAACAGAAAATAAGGAAGGGCACAAAAGCAGTAAGGAACAGGCAAATTTCAGTATTTTGAAAGAACTTCCCCACCTGTGTAGAAAAACTTGTCTCCAGAGTTAAGCATCCTTAAAAACAGCCATTGAGAGAGCACGGGCAAAGCGCACAGACCATGCCAGCTCAGGAGATCTGGTGATGTTACCTGGCCAGTAACAGCCACATTTCAGCAGTGCCTAAAAGCTGCTTACAAGTCCCTCTCAAAGCCTACTGCAGCAGGTGAGGCTTCCCCACTTCTCATCTCAGAGCTGGGTGCACCTTCCATCCCACCAAAATTGAAGGACAAGTAGGAACATTTTCAGCAAGCAGGAAAAAATGCCTATTCAGAATGATCTTAACAAACCTCCTCTCCTGACGAAAGCTTGGACATGCTACTTGCTTCCAGTTCTTACACATTCAGCCATGAATTCTGTCCATACAATCTCCTGACATGACCAGTTACCTTCACGTGAAGGCATTACACACAGCCTGGCATTTTAGGTGGGAAGAACAGAATGAAGATTATTTCTTAAGATGCCAAGAAGATACTACACTTGCCTCACAGTGATGTTCATGGCCAACTCAGGCGGCCACAGGGCTGACTTGAATAATGGCTTTTGCTTTGCATCAATTTATAGGAAGAATTGTGTTTCAGTACAGCTGTTAAAACAGCTTTGTTTCATTAACTACTTAAGATAGCAAGAACAAGAGGAGCATTTTTATTACACCAAAGCAGAGAACTTCCACAGAGGCTTAAGACAGCAGGGAGGGTTGTCCAGAGCTGCTGCCAACTGGCCTGGAGGAGCCTTTTTCCTGTGCAGTAAACAATTTAAGATTGATGGCCTGGCTTCACCCAGTAAACCGAGCGCAGCACAAACAGCACTAAGGCAAGCAAGCAAACCACATTCCCAGTCTTCTCGTCTCAGTGCAGTAATTACGTATTAATAAATGGTATGTGCATAAGCTGCTCCACCCACCACAATCTGCCTTCTACCCTGTCTGGCATGGAGCTGATAAAACCCAGCTTTTTTTAAATTTTATTTCCAGGACAGAAAACTTGATGCTAAGCTACCCAAGAGTGATGAGGATGTCCCTCCTTCTTCCCCAGCTCCTGTTTGAAACACTGTCAGAGCTGTAGCTACAATCAATGGACTTTTCAACAGCAGAAAAAGGGTCTGCTTGACAAGGAGAGCCCTTCCACTCCAGCACACGTTTGTCGAGGGCAGTTTGTGTGCTCACTTTGAGTAAACAGCCAGCTCAGCTAGAGCTCGGTTTGGCAGGAGCCACGGCAGTTCAGGAAACACGGCTGAGTCACAGACACAGCCTGCTTCACTGTCTGCCCCAGAAACCTGGGGTTGCAAAGGAAGGAGGCGGCCACAAAAACCCATTCATCTCCAGAAGAATCCTACCCACTGGATAACATCTTCTGTGCTTAGTTTGCACCCTCTACTGTGGGCAGCTCTTTTTTAAAACCCCACCTGTTTGGCACCACAGAAGTCTGCAGATGAGCTGATGGGAAACGGGCTGCGATGTGAGCAGTGCTCCACCCAGCCTCACCCTCTGTACACAGCAATGCCCGCGGCAGGGACGCCTTAATGGACAAGTCTCCTCCTCCTCCTGTTCTTTCAAGAAAGGAAGTTACTGGGGAAAATGCTGGGACTTGGCCAAAGGCCCAAATGAGTCTCAAAGCAAAAGCAGAGCTCTGTTTTCAAGCCTGGGTGTCTCTAGGCTCCGGCAAGCCAGCAGCTATATTCATTGCAGGGAAAACCTGATGAATTCCAGCTCTGGCTCTCCCTGGCAGGAGACAGGATGGATCTGACAGTTGTTTCTCTCCCTGCTCCTCGAAAGAAAACAGCACTTGGGTCTTTCTCCAAGGTTTTCCTCTGCTATGCACACTGCCTATTTTTCTCAGTCCTGAAGAAGCCTCTGGCCTATCCGAATTTCTGAGCCCACATCCTGCCAAATGGAGCAAAAATACGTCCACTGGACGCTTCAGTACAACCCCCACCCAGCCTGGATATTACCCACGTCGCCACAAGCAGCCCTGCACACTCTTCAGATGGGAAGGCGGCTTGAATCCAGCCGGGGATGAGCTAGGAAAAGCAGTGACTGCCCAAGTTCCCACCAACAGAAGGCTGCCTGGGAAAGGTCTAATGCCCGTGCTCTTCCTTAGACACAGGACAAGGAAGTGACACTGAGCAAATACACAGCAATTCAAGCAAGCATCGCAAGTGCTGGCAGACACCACAGGTATGAACAAGTAAGGTACAAGCCCAGAATGGGTTACTGAAACAGGAGGAGAGCAGATGCTTTCAGATGTTAGTTTTAACTAAATCTTATTTCATTTCCTGTGTCCAGCTTGGAGAGCACAGGTAGAGAAATACAAAAAACCTAACATGGGATTTTTCAGTGAAATCTGCAGCTTTTAAAGCAGAGGTAGGGCACTTTGAGTGGAAAAGACCCGATCCACTACAACTCTCTTGGACTCTCAGGATGCAGCAAGATACATAGAAGCAAGATTGAGTTGGAATAAGGAAAGCAGTTACTGCCTCCCAGCTGGTGATAACCAACTTGTTAGCAGAAAGAGCAAAGTGTCAGCCAGGCTAGTTTAAAACCCTGGGGAAAGTGATCTGAGCTGACTTGGCTAACGCTGCGTGAATATGAATTAGGGAGCACTCCCATGGTAAATCCTGGTAACATAGTCTTAATACACAGCAGGGGCAGAAAGGGGGAAATGGGCAATTGCATCTTAAACTGCACTGGCTGCTCCCCAAGTAATACAACACGCCCCCAGAGAAAAGGGGCACGAGACATCGGTTTGGGGCTGTAGCTAAAGAATTAACAACTGAGGGAACTGCACAAAATGCCATTTCAGAGCCACCACAAACGGCACACGTTTGGAACAAACACGCAGGCAGCAACCTACAAAGGAATCCTTCATCCCGCAGGCAGCTTGGATGTGCCTCTTCTTCCCATCCGGCTCCAGAACAAGGCTGGTGTTGACAGGCAAGACTACCAAACCTAAAATTTTCTACCAATT